CAGGAAAAAATACTGGCACGATCAACTGACCTACTCCTAATGGAATCCAACTGCTGCGCAAGAAATACATCGATTTCTTGAATTTGCGTTCGTAGAAATTCTACAATTCTACGTGAAAATGTAAAGATTCTAGATATTCAAAAACGACTAATCTGCCATTTCTTTTGGATTCAAAATGTCCGAGTCTAATTCTATAGATTTAAACAGAAATAAATATAGGCCAAAAATGAGTACGATAAATTGGTCTAATTTCCAAAAAGAATCCAACACCTAAGCATAAGTATTAGAACACTTGTTAAATATGTAGCAAACCTGAACAGTCATTACAGAATTATCAAGATCCTGAAGAAAATGATTCAGTCTGGAATTTCATAGTACAACAGGTACAAACAATAAAAACTTCTAAGTATGTATTTCAATTTAAGATGCCGTCATAATAATAACACCCGAATAGTCTCACTGATTATCAATCATATTTCATAGAATCCAAAAAAAAAAACAAAACAATTACAGCTATCAATTAAGAAAGATTCGTGGTTAAAAATTTTATTCAATCCATCGTATTAAGTATAAAAAATAATAAAACAGTGTCCTCTTCTGTTTTCCTCATACATCCACCACTAACGAGAAAATCTCTGGAAACTAATAACGTGGACACCCTATATATTTTTGCTGATACACGATACTGACTTTGTCGAAGAAATGTAATTTAAATCACATAATACTTTTTGCACGTATCTAATACCTATGAAAGGCAGTGTACGTCGATTTCCTGGCGGATTTGAATTTACCTACGTACAACTATTCCAAACTTGCAGATATAACGAATAATCTATCATTCTTTCACGCTAAAAATATCAGAATCCAATTCGAGCGATCCGAATAGAAACGAAAATAACTAGCGCGATATATTGATCTACTCCAAATAGAATAATCTAGCCTGTGATCGTTATTCTCCAACAAGTTCAAAGTTCAAACAAAGACAGCCCTGTGACAGCGTGATCAGCGTCGAGACAGGATCGAGAGAAGGCGATTACACACAATCCGGACCGGTACATTTATCAATTATTCACCGAAAACCCGATCTGCCAGTCTCGCTTTACCGATGTGCGCCACCAGTTCGAGCGTAAAAGGCCAGAGGGGCGAAAGGGATGAAAAGAGGCGCCGCAGAGTCTGCAGCTAGGGTAGCGTGAGGCGCCGAAGAGTCCACTGCCGGCAGCGGTGCATCGACTAACCAGTCCATAACCAGTCCGCACGCCACTCTAAGGGTCGCATGGCTGATATATACAGAGACACGGATGGAGGGCATCGAAGGGGAGACCGCAATTAGGGCCAGCCCAGGGTAGCTTGAACCCGATGAACTTGACGCGGGAATTTGAACTTGCTGAACTTTCCACGAATACACGGAATTTTCTCTGCGCTATTTTATCTGCATAAAGTATAATTTCGCATTACGTGACTCCGGGCTCGATCGCTTTTCTTTCTATCTTGGTATGCTCGTCATTTCTATACAACTGAATATTTTTTTTTTTTTCTAAATGTACTTTTTTGGTAATTGGTATATAGATACCGTAAATTTTTGATATTTTGAAAGAAACAGGGGTTTTGAGGAGCGGCCATTTTGTAAAGAATTTAAAGGAAAAAATATTTTTACGTTCTTTAAAGTTAATGTAATAAAAAGTCCTTATAAAGAGTTTCCCGTTGAATTGACTATTTTCTGTTTTAAAAAATGCCAAAGTTAGGTATCATTTTTAGGTCTCAGAAATGGCCTAACCCCTTATCTAGTTAACTGAGGAGGATGAATTAACTTGTCGTTAATTCATCGATACTTAGAACACAAAAATATATTTATTGAAAGGGTATTCAGTTTTCAAACAATTATACCGCTACGCCTGTATTAATTTGCAAGAACTAAAATGAAGTAATTAGTTACAATTTTTGAGTTAGAAAGATTCATTCTCTGTTTTGCGAGGTAAACTCAGTTAACGCAGGTTAATAATTTTGTAACGACTGTTCAGGTTTTCTCCACATTCGGTAAGTTTCCTAATTCTGAAAAACAGAAGTGTATCTAGGTCGAACAATTAAGTTAGCTAAAGTTAAGTCAAGTTAGTTTAACGTTGGAGTCCAGTTTGAAAGTGTCAAAAAATCGATTTTGTTTCGCATAAATTGAAATATTAAGGATAAATTCCTAAAAGTAACGAAGTTACAAGCACATTTACGGAGTTTAATGACGTGGAGGATAACTCAAAATGTAATCAACCGATCAACTTCAGATAAACTCCATTCAATTCGACATACGTCTCTCCAGGGATTGAACCGTCGATCAATATTTCATCTTTATTTACTGTATTTTGGTAAACAATATAAAATTGATTTATTTGCTAGAAAAACTGACCGTATCTTCAAACTGGTGTAACACTCCGAAAGTTACCGTTTGTTTTCTTACAATTCAGTTCAATCCCAACATAAACTATGAAAGAACAACAATATTTCAAATTGTTTGCCTTTAAATCACTTTGGCAGGAGCTAGGCTGCGCGCCAACCAGAAGTTACATTACCGACGGAGTTAATTTGAAGTATAAAATTTACAATAAAAATACTAGAAATTACATTTAACCAAATTTTTCTATCACAGTCCAAGGACGTTCCTTTCTCACGAAAAGAAGAATCGTTAAGATATCTCTACTACTTTAGCCAAGAAAAATTGTTAAACATCACTACATATTATTCTGTCAAACTGGACTCCTCCCTTAATCGACCTATAACGCAAACTTTATTCACCTTCATCTCGGGGGGAGAGAAAACCAAGTCAAGTGTGCTAAAGAGAGTACAAAATGAAGAAGCGACATAGCTGAACCTGAAGAACCGAAATATTCACGGATCGAGAGCAGAGGCTCTCGTCGCGATAATTGTGCTCTTCGTAGTGACGCGAAGCCCAGTAATTATTCCGACGTCGCGCAGACGACGGATATCCGGGATAATTGCAGCGCGAGCGCGACAATGATGCGACCCGTAGCCGAAATTGCTCGGTGCCTGCGAAATATGATGTTTGCATGTCGACCACGATATCCCTTTCTCCCTGTTCTTCCTATCTCTCCCTCGTGAAACACTGTGTCACGAGAACCACCCCCTTCGTCAGATGCCGACAACTCGATAACCGTGTGCCTGTTCCTTTTTTTTTTTTTCTTCTTCTTTTTCAAGCTTTCTAGAATGTTCATTGTGAAAAGCAAGCGTGGAAACGTGTCGTCAAGAATATAACACCACGGTTGCCAAACACTTTCTCGGAAGGAATGGCGAGGTCTTCTGTACACCAGAAGTTGACTCTGATGGTTCGCGTCCATTAAATCTCGAGACGGTACAGTGTATTTTTCTCGATTACATCCCTTTTCTTTACTTTAAGTCTCTCTTTTTTTTTTTTAATTTCTGCTAAATTCGGCAAATAGTGATTTATAACAGACGCAGATAGTGTTCTTTTTCTTTTTTTCGAATCTTAGAAAAAGCGTGAAATAATGGTCGAACATAATACCGAATCGTTTCGCCGGAAGGAGAACAGGGTCAATCGTGGATGATTTACCGAAGCGAAGTTAAAACAAAACGACTCTTTTTGGGGCCGGCTAATTGGGTCAACGAACAACGAACGGACTGCGCCGCATTAATGCCAATTAAACGAATAAACCTAATTGGCGCTCTGTTACGTCGATCTGTTATGTTATTTGTGTAACCAGAGTAGAAGAATGAATTTTTTCTTCCTGTTATACATCGGTCAAACACACGGAGAATTCAATTCTCAATTGGAATTAATACATACAGGGTGTCCCACCTATGCGTTGTCGCGAAATTTGAGGACTTTTCTTGAACTTTGTAAAAAATTATTTTTGACTAAAATTAAACTACATTTAAGTGGACGTAACTTTCGTAAACCATAGTTTCTGTGTCTACACTTTTTCGGAGATATGAATGTTACCTTCTGTTTTTTTTTTTTTTTTTTTTTTTTTTTTTTTTTTTTTTTTTTTTTTTTTTTTTTTTTTTTTTTTTTTTTTTTTTTTTTTTTTTTTTTTTTTTTTTTTTTTTTTTTTTTTTTTTTTTTAATTTTAGCATTTTTTTAAATTCTTTAAGTATATTTTCAACTTTAATTTATTAACTTTGCGTGTGTTACAAGAATAACACAAATAACATAAGAACGCGACAGAATTTGTGCAACTTCCTAATACCTTTAAGCGTTCGATTACAATAAGTGTCCTTAAAGCGACTTAATACACCGCGAGGTTGTAAAACTTCTACTGACTTTTGCTGTTCTTTCAGTAACATATGTGGTTGTCAGATTTGTCATGAAAAGTATTTAAAATATACTACAGTTTAATTTAGAAAAAAAAAAAAAGGTAACATTCGTATCACAGAAAAAACTGTAGTTTAAAAAACCATAATTCACGAAAGTCACGTATACTTAAACGTAGTTCAACTTTTGCCAGAAACAATTTCTTCCGAAGTTCGAGGAATCCCCCGCAATTTCGTGGCAACACTTACGTGGGCGGACACCCTGTACATACAGAGAGGGGAAAAAAATGCTTATCCTCTTATTCTAAATCTCTTTAGACATCCGCGATCGCATATCAACGTCAGCATAACCGCAATTACGCTCTCCCATATGCTTGTCTTCCTCGAGCAAACCCAACACGGGCGGCTGCTAAATATTTCACCCCCGCGACAACTTCCCTCAAACATTCGCGTAATTGCGCCCCAAATTTACCGGAAACCATCCAACTCGAATTATCCCTTTAAACGTGGCCAAAAATCCTACTCGAGTGTAACACTGAGAAAAGCTGGAGAATGAGCATTTTCGATGAGTGGAATCTAAATGAACACTGTGAAAGAGGGGAGGAAAAGGGGGATGAAGTATAGGCATGGAAGATGGTGGAATCACGAGCAGACAGTGGCCATACATTGAACGCGGAAGGGACTATAAATTCGAGTCGTTCTGGCGACGAAAGAAGCTTGTTTACCGTTTTTACTGGAGTCCCTCATCTGGATCTGCTTCAGTTTGTCTGTCCCCAACCCCTGTGCTAGAGATTCCCACGGAGTCTTCTTTGGAGTTTTGTCAAGCACTGCGGCTATACTGTGCCAACAATTGATTTATACTTGTAATTCTGCGTGTATATTACCAGGTTTATTTATTTATTTATTTGGGGGGGGGCAGATAGGGAGCATTTTTTAACGTGATAAAAAAATAGAGATCATTTATCTTTTGTTAACTATCGGCCGACGAAGCTGGGTCCTCTGTGACCCGTATCATTTTTGCTCACATGTATGTACGTACGTGAAAAATGTAATAATTTGTATTGCTAATTTTTTTTCTAAATACATCTCATATTTTCGCAACAAACTTGTGTAATTTGTTTAATTAATGATACCATAAAAAAAAAGAAAATTACTGAAAATATGTAGTTCGGTGTATTTACGTGAAAATCTGACGAACAAAATTGATTCTCTGATGCATAGGCAAAGAAATGTTACGATGGGTCAGATGTGACCCGGCTCCGCTTTCGGTCCGACGGTGAAAAGGGTGGTTAATTAAAATTGAAATATTCGTGGGTCTCGAGATCTCAAAATGGCACGATTTACGTCGAAAATTGCATTTGGATCATTTTATTATCTGTGCAAACATTCAAAAGCTAGCTTCTCGCAAAAGCGGAGAGAAAATAAGAGCGAAAATACAGCATGATCGCGCGTAATATTCGAAGGGAGTCTCACTCACTCACTCACTCACTCACTCACTCTTTCTCTCTCTCTCTCTCTCTCTCCCCTCCCTCGCGAGATTACCGACTTCAAGCGAGAGACTAAACGGAGTTGGCTTAGAAATTCGACGCTTGACGTCACGCTTTCCATCGGCTTCTTTAAATAGAGTGATCAATGATATCGCTGATTGGACGTCGGCCGTGCCTCCGCGTCGATGGCGGCTGACTCAAGCGAGCAGAGCATGAAGGAAACGCGACTTGCCAATACCAATACAATTGAAAATTTCACTTCATTACCATTATACAGGGTGATTCATTCGACCTAATTTATCAACATTTATTTACCGCTTTATGCAGATGAGATACGACCCTTTAATTTATGCACGTACAATATTTAAATGATACAGTAAGTGAAACGCGGATTTCTGAAGGTAAACGATGCAAGATAAAAAGAGACTATCTTTTATATTGTAAGTGACGATGCATCGTGAGATACACACGTGAAATTTACGAGTCCAACCCGATATTCTGACTTGAATAGGTTACATATGGAAATCTTATCTGTAATTTTAATCCCAGGAACGATATTGGTATTATTCGAGGGCAAAATTTGGTTAACACATTACCAAACGAACGAATTACAGTTGAATAAATGTCTGAGTTTGCTAAAAAGATTACTGAAGAAATTAGTTAAAGAAGCCTGCGTTAGGAAAATTAACGATGTAAAATTGAACGATGCACAATGGAGTATTTTCTTCAAAAAGCTAGCCAAAATTCAAATTTGTAACTTCGTTAAAAACCAAAAAAAAATTTGTGTTTTTCTTACAATGTTATTACAGTGAAGTATCATAATGGCCGTTAGTGTGACGTCGGAATTTAGGCAGAAGAAGAAAGCCATGTGGAAAGGAGTTTTGTTTGCAAACTCTGTGAGCAAAATCTGTTTGTAACTTAACATTCTTACAATATTATGTAAAAATTATTTCAAAATTAATTGATAGTTTCAATATGAAAATTTCAAATAAAATAATTCATGTATATAAATCAGTTTATTTCTGAATTTTTTATTCTCCTATAAGTTTTCATATAAAATTCTTTCAAACAATTACGTTTCGTCATTTCTAAAAACAAAGCACTTCCTTTGTTAGAACCAGTAAAATAATTTTGGCCAACTTTTTCATACAAATACTCTACCGTGCGATGGTTCGTTCTATCCCACCATATTGCAAAACAAAATTTCTCAAAATAGTACACGAGAATATAATTGAAAAAAAAAAAATGGTAACGTTTGTGTTAACATTTAAAATGAAATGAAGAGATCAAGTGAACGAAAAAATGCAAGTGTATCAGAAACATTTACGTTCGATGATCACCAAACAACGTTTCGAGGAACTCAAATCCATTCAATGTCCATCCGTTGCGAACTGATGTCAATGCGGATAAAGAACGTAATACAGTATATTCTCCACAAGTGTCAGACCGCAAGGAAGCTAAACCTGACACTCGTAGAGTCAGGGACTACGTTTTCGACCCTCGCGCCCGCCTTTGTAGTTTGCCGAACGTAGCCAAGGACAGCGAATAAAAGATAAGCATGAAACGTGAGTCGAGGCAACCAAGCGATTTAAATCCCAACTTTTTTAATTTTACGTTTTTTTATCCCCAAATTTTTCTTAGCATATTGATGAGATTTTGCTGATGAAAATGACATAAAACACGACATAATTTGAACAA